AAAATTCGAAACGGCACCTAATGTGCAAGCTAGCACTACAGTTCACTGTACAACTGCTCCTCGTCTCGGTTGAGATTCGACACTTCGTAGGTATTGCTTCGACATAGTTACTAACGAGGTCAGCAACCGACACCCTTCGGCCCTTTAAGTATTCGTTGTCGAGGACTATATGCCTATCCCTGAAGATAGCAAGTTCCAATTTTTCTCATGCACTCGGTATTATGGATTGTGGCAAACGTTATTACAGTGGGATATTCTGAACTCTGACGCAGCCGCAGTTTGCGGGCTGCACCCAGTACAGTATACAAAAGTGGGGAAGGATGAATCGATAAGGTACACATCTCCGGCGAACTCATATCCATCGAACAATGTTTCTGCCTCTGTCTATCTTCCTGATTTTGTGCAAGGCAACAAAATGTTGTCGTGATTTGTTATTCAGTCGTTCGATTCATGAATGGCAGGTCGTCCCACCTTCACGATGCCTATACCGCAGCGCGATCGTCGGCATGGTGTATCGTTGCTTGTTTATGACCTTGCTGCTACGGTGTTGTTTCGCCCGTCGTTTACCCCACTTTCGCTTTCGGTACGCCGACACAGTTTGTCTTTGCCGTGCCTATTTACGAGCGGCTGTTGGACGTGCTGTGACCAGACCATTTCAACATGTCCTTGAAACGTTTTCTCCGCACCTTCCTTTGGTATGCTTTTACCGCTGAGTTGCTGCATTGCTTTTCTATTGTCGTCTTTCGACTTCTTTAACATCGTTAGCCGCGGAGGTCAGCGTGGCTTCGGCCCGAATCGGCTTGCTGTACTCGGAGCCTCGGTACTCGATCGTTTTTCTGGACTCCTTAGGAGAAGAGTACGCAAAACAGGTACTGTTACGCATCCAATGAGATGCATGAGGTTTGTAGATATTCTGCCCACTTATACGTTATTTGTTACTTTAAATCGATTAACTGTTTTTGGGAGGCATCGCTCTAGCTGACATCGCAGATGTGTCTGGCTAGGTCTACAAGAAACGTTCTTTGCGGATGAAAATTTTGTACCGGGTACTACGGTATGTTTCTAACACGCTCGTATTCGAAAGTACTTAAATAAACATAATATTTTCCTGATATTCCGATCGTGAACCGATAAACTTGTATCACAAAGACGATTTTAATACAAAACACTGTTTATTAGAAAATGTACGGAGAAA